CAGTTTTATTCCGGTGAATTGCTGGAGCCCATTTCCAGCTGTTTATGGGACAACTTGGATGTTGAAGAGAAGCTAAATGAGCTGCATCCTTATGTCGAGCTTTGTTGGCTTGCTGAATTTTGGCTGTTAGGAGATGTTCATGAACACTGCACTAGAATGGTGATATCCCGTTTGGACTCCGCCAGAAATTTGTCTATAAAAATACTTCAAATCGCTGCTAATCTCTCTCAATGGAAATTATCTGAAGCCGCGGCAAATTACATGGCACCTTCGTATCATCATCTGCGCAACTCTGGTAAACTCGAAGAACTGGACGAAGAGCTTGTTGATATGGTCCGGGCTGCCTCTGTTAGACTTTCACAGGAGGGTGGTGGTCATCATCCTCATAGTTGATGTGATTATTATATGCTGTAGCTTTTAACCCTTTGAGGACAAAGCAAATTACAAAACACACACCCATCACCCACAGAAAAGACCAGCTACCCACGTGATCCCACTAACCAATGCCCTTTACTCTCTCTCTCTTTGAGCAGTGATCAATTCTGTTTTTATTTTTTCTTCTTTTTTTAAAAAAAAAAACATCATCTCTCCTCCGTTTGATTTCCAACTCCATTATTTTTCTTTCTTTTCTCCAAACCACTTTCCTTATTTCCCCCATCTTTCATTTTTGATTTCAAATATATTTTTATTATTTCTTTTCTTTATTTTGTCTTTCACATTATTTTTAATCTTTTTCCAATTCCATTCATACCATATAGCTTTGCACACCAACCATATTTTATTCCTCTCCGGGATCAACCCCGATCATCATTTTACACCACAAAAAAAAAAAAAAAAAAAAAAACAAAAAAACCACACCCCCAGGAATTGCACACCAAACCTTCCCTTATTTTATTCATGTCGGGCCTCACCCCGATCACCATTTTACATTAAAAAAAAAAAAACAAAAAAAAAAACAACCAAACAAACAAAACCCAAACAACCACATCCACAGGCGGGATTTTTTCTTCTCTACTCTGCCGCCGGTCTCTTCTTCTTGCCTCCGTCCTGCGCGGCCCTTGACGGTGTTGCCTCCGTGCTTCCTAGACCACCAAGCAAGTTGCCTCCTCCCTGCTCCTCCACTACAGCATATGGTGGACCTCCAAATCGGAACATCACGGTGGCCTTCCCCTTCAGCTCCTTATTTTCCGCCTTTAGCACACTTATCTCTGCTCGCGCATCCTTATACATGCGTTCGAGCAGAGCCAGTTGGGCGTTTAACTGCTGCACCTCATTTGTCCTACTCTGAAGCCGGTGCGACAAGTTTGTAACCGCAGTCATGGTCTCCACACATGACTTCAAAGTATACTGATTGGCCTCAATATCAGTTTGCACTGCCATTTTTTGCTCCACAGACCGCATCGGAAAGTTCAACGGAGCAAAACCAGGGGTGTTTGGTTGAGGTTCACTGGCCACCGCACCGGTTATCTCTCTTGTGGACTCGTTCAGGTCGGGAAAGAGAGTGAGCAGACCACGGGAAGAGGAGGCCATGTTCTGGGTCGCTGGACGGGAAGAAGAGGCCATGTTATGGGTTGCTGAGTGTTTCAGAGAAGGGTTGGTTACAGAGTGTTTACAGAGTGTTTCTGAATGCAAATGTTCAGAGGTTTCAGACTGGTTTGCCCAGCCTCCGCCTCAACCTTGGTTTAAATAGCCAGGGCAGATACGCGCATCGCGCGCCACTTGACGCCAGACGCCAAAACGGGCGCGCAAGCCAAGGTAATCACGTGCCTCGCCATCATGTCCGGCACACCTTTTTATGGATTGGGCACGCCTTTTGATGGCACGCCTTTTGACAAATTGGGCACGCCTTTTGAGGGTGCCACTTTTTCAACGGTCCGGCATGACCCCATAAACTGTCCCGACATTTGATTCCGGTTAGCTTCTCCATCGGTCCGGTGTGACCTCGTCAACTGTCCAGACTTTATCTGCTACAACGTTCTGCCACAACCATCTAGTGTCCTCTACAACGTTATGACACACCCATCCAGTGTCCTCTACAACGTTATGACACCACCATCCAGTGTCCTCTACAACGTTATGACACACCCATCCAGTGTCCTCTACCCCGTTATGACACAACCATCTAGTGTTTCCTATCCTCTTTATTTTCTGTATTGGTCTATTTTCTTGTTTTGTTACTCTCTTCAAACTCAAGTTGGTTAGTTCCTATCTCCTTTTGCGGGGGGCTGTTAAAATCCACCTACTACACACCTACCACTACCACCTACTACACACTCACCTACTTCACCTACTCTCCACCTACTCCTCACTTACTACACACTCACCCTCTTCTATATATAGGAATCATGAATCATTGTAATAAATATCAACACATCAATCAATAATATATATCAATTTTAACATAATCTAACCCTAAGACTAAAAGGGAAAGTAGAATATTTATTCAATCCCGTAGAATATATACAAAATATATACTACCATATATATATAAATCCTAATATTCTCACAATTTCATCCAATAACTTGGTTTTTTCTGTGGGTAGACTCAACTTAGGAGGAAGGGGACAAAGCTAGGAACAAAGTAAAGATAGAAAGAAAAAGAAAACTAGAGAAAGAGAATGCAATTACTACAGATTGTAGTTCCAGTGTTTAATAATAATAATAAAAAAAATAGAAAAGAAAAAAAAATCCAAAATAGAAAAGCCAATATGGAAATAAGAAAATGCTGTATAGACTATCGTATTTACTGATTTAGTTTTTAGAAACTTTATTAACAAACTGATATGTCATATAATAATAAAACTTTGGCTTTGAAATGGGACCCAGTAAATTATCATGATTGGTACACATCAATTTGTGAATTTTTTTGTATTGCATTACTCACAGAAATATTACACATGCAACTAGCATTAATCAGGAAGAATGTTCTCGGTGGAAGACAAACCACATGGTGTAGGGGAAGATCAAAGAGCACTTTGGTTTAGTGGCTGATTTTACTATCTGTCCATATATATATATTTGTGTGCATTGCTTCAGTTCATTTCATTTATATAATCAAACCATATAACCTCTACTTACCAATAAAACCACACCCCCTTCTCCCCTCACTACAACAAAAACATACTTTAGTGGCACTACACTAGTGGCATATTTTTAGAAAATGCCACAAAAAATGATATTTAGTAGCACGTTTTAATTCCCATTTGATAAAACAACATTTGTTCAATCAACAAAACAGACATAAGAAAAGGTACCATGTAGTGTATTGTTTGACTAATGGCATAAAAATACTTTTTTTTTTTTTGATCAGCAAAGAAAAATTTCATTTAACAGCATGAAATTAAAGGTACAGGAAGATGACATGCATCAAGAGAGATTCAGAAAGTATAAAAATACCTCTACTACTGCTACTCGCATCCATACAACCAACCACAAAACGACAAACATAAAAGGCTCTAGTGACATTTCAATGAACAAGTGTCACAACACTACAACAAAAACATATTTTAGTGACACCATACTAGTGGCATGTTTTTAAAAATGTCACAAAAAGAATATTTGGTGGCATTTTTTAGAAAAATGTCATAGAGCCACAAACATACAAGGCTCTAGTGGCATTTCAAATAAAAAAAGTGTCACTTCACTACAACAAAAATGTCACTACAAAAACTTTCTATGAATATTTGCAATGGCATTTTTTAAAAAATGCTCCCAAAGCCCTCACCACCCACGCCTATGCTGCTGCCCACGCCACCCCTACGCTGCTGCAACTCCTAACTCCCAATGCCCACACCACCCCTAAGCTGCTGCAACTCCCAACTCCCAATGCCCACACCAACCACGCCAGAGCTGCTGTCCACACCTATGCTGCTGCAACTCCCAATACCCACCCCTATGCTGCTAGTCCGGCCGAGAAGACTCCACAGCCAACACCGGAAAACTCCCACGCCAATGTTGGACCTTGACATTGCAGCTCCAACATTATCTGCCGAAGACACCCACTGCAGATCATCACCCACTGACATTGCAGATCATCACCCACGCCAAAGCTGCTGCAACATTATCTCCCAACATTATCTCACCCACAGATCATCTCCCAACAGTTCTTCTTACTCACTGCCAAAAACCACACCATGCCACAGCTGCTGCAACTCCCGAACCCACACCTATGCTGACCCGACCAACAGCTGGGACACCACCCACTGCAGATCCAAACACAGACCGACCAGCAGTTCTTCTTCCTTCTCCAGTTCTTCTTCTTTCACCCCTCAAACTGTCACACGAAGAGGAGCGCTCGAATGAAAACCAGACAGATCTGGATCGACTCCGACACCCATGTTTCCGCCCAAACAAAGCATCGATACTTCTCCAATAATCTGAACCAGAGTTCACCCCTCAAGCTCCTACTCACAAAAGAGCGCTCGAGTGAAGATGCTGGACGTCCCCTGCTGAAAACAACACACCACTACCCCCAAAGAATCAGCTATAACGGCCCGGAATCACCAACAAATAACATCTACCGCAGCACACAAAACACTCCTAGGTGGGAAAATAATGGGGAAATCAAGTTTATTAAATGAAAAACAACAGACAAACACGGAAGAAGCTAGTCCAGCCGACCGCCATAGCCAAAGGCGGCGGCCGGCCGGCCCAAAGAGAGGCCCGGAGAGGAGGTTTTTAGAGAGAGAGAGAGAGATGGTCTGGCATAAAAATACATGAAAGATAAATCTAAGCCAAAACCTAACAATTGTAAGATGCAACACATAATTCACAAACCCAAAAATAACGTGAACACAAGGGATAAGAGACTAGAACAGCAAGCATATATATATATTGAGAACATAATTAGAAATATATGAAATGTCAAGTAGACTGAACAATAATTCAATAAACATATTAGTTTAACCCAGTCATGTCCAATTAAATCATAAAGCACATTCAGTATGCTCAAGCAGCATTTGCCTACAATATCTCTCAAGTTTTAAATACCATTGACTTACATTTTAGTTTTTTATTGTCGCAATGGTAGTCTTGTTGTCCCCATGCTTCAATAGGCCTACAATGTCAACAAGAAGAAGATAAAGAAAACACCACATGCTTGCCAAAATTTGCCCAACTTTAGATGAGCATTTTAGGCTCTATTTGTTTCAAAGTAAATTAAATTTGAGAAAAATATTTTTCCTATTTTTGTTGTTTGATTGGCCAAAAAATAAGTGAAGTATTTTTCAAGTAAAATAGTTTTGGTTATAAGGCAAAAAATTAATTACGTTTCAAAAGTCCAAGCTATTTTTTTGCTCTCGGTCAACGCTTTATGATTTTCTTTTAAATTTTTTTTATCTATAATTAGTTCATTATTAAAAAATTTCTTGTAGAAAACATTTTGTCAACCAAACAAATGAAAATTTAAACAAAAACATTAGTTATGTCTAAAATCAATTTACATTAATTTTTTTTTTTTTACGGTGTAAATGTTTTACATCGAAACAAACAAAGCCATAGAGTCAAATAAAATTATTCCCCCCGCGCCCCAGTTAAAAAAAGGGAAAAAAAAAAAGAAAAAAAAAAGGTAAGAGCTTACATGTCTGTTATATTAGAGCAGCATGAAAACAAGTTCCTGAAAAAATAAATAAATAAATAAATAAAAGAATATGCCGAAGGAAAGGTGCATGGAGAAAATATGAAGTGTACCAGTTTTTAGTAATGCTTTTATCTGGTAAGGGTAAACTTGGGAATTTGTTTTCAGAAATATCCCTGCAAAAATGTGGCATAACATACAATAAATATTAATAACTTTTACCACAAAAATCATAATTTTTTTACGATGTGCACATCTTTTGAGGTGTATGTTGTAAATTTCTCCTACTTAAAAACAACTTCAACAATTCTAGAATCAACAAATTAGTTGTGGTTTGGATAAAAAATAATGAATACTACTAATAAATCTATAAGATCAACTACATTTAACATCTTTCCATTTTCAAACTCTTTCATTGAAATCTCTATTTTTAATTGTGACAGTCAACTCTTTAGACTTATTCAAGTTACAAAGTTACTAGCATGTAAGGTTGACAAAAATTAGTATTTGAGCTACATTTGACATTTTCTTGGGGCATTAGCATCCCCACTTTTTTAGAAAAATCCTAATTTGGTCTGCTGCACTTTCGCTAAAATTTCACTTTGGTCCACCCACTTTTAATTGTGCCAGTAAATAAATAAAAAAGAATATCACGTGAGACACACATGCTAATTTCCATCATCATTATAATGCCAAATGAACAGAATAATAACATTGCAACTAGACTTAAAAAATAGGAATTAACTATCACAATTGAAAGTAAAGAGGCTAAAGTGACATACTGAAAAAAGTGGAGAAGTGTTAAGTATAATTAACCCAAACATATAACAAACAAAATGAGCCCACACAGGATTTATAAGTTCATACCATAGTTGTTAGAATTTACCATCACCTACCACCACTACCACCTCACCTACTCCACTAAACCTAACCCACTCTACCACTACCACCTACCACACTTCTCCTACTCTCCACCTACTCCCAAACACACTCCTATATAATAGGAATCTTTGTAATTGTAATAATATACTACATTAATACATCAATCAATAATACATACATTTTAACAATAGTTGTCAAATCGCGATTCAAATCAGGAATCAAAATGGTATTGTACTGAATCATGAATTGAATCAAATCGAATCGTGAATCATAAAGATTTGACCGCATTCTTTTAAATTACATAGATATTTAGATATTAAATATATCTAACAAATATGAAACATTTAGAGTCAAATCAATGAAAATATTGTTTTAAATGATGATCATGTAATCTGGGTAAGAAGTTAACACTGATTCCCATGTTTACCACTTCACATTTTCCCTTTTAGATACTATTTCTTATCAATCGTTCTTAATAAAGAAAAGCAAACAAACGCAAACCTTCAATTTCCAAGTAGCAATAACTCAACAACCATATTTTTAACTTTTTTTACAAGGTTAAAAAATCAAAATCTTCAAACTTTTTCAAAAATCTCACTTGATGCCTTCAAAAGATTCATTTTGTAAATGCAAGTACTTAGATAAAATTGAATATGTAAACCTAGAATATTGTAGAGAGAGAAAGTTCATTTTTTTTTTCCTCTAAGGTTTGAGTATTTGAGAGTACATTGGGAGGGACAAAGTCAAAAGATGACATATAGTAATCCTAGATACCTTAAAAAGGCTGTGTGAACCCTTTTCCAAAAAAAAAAAAAAGAAAGCCAAACATCAATTTTAGCGTAGCGAATCGAATCGATTTACGATTCACCGATTCACCTACGATTTATAGCTATTTGCAATTCACACAACCTGTTCAAATTGATTACCTACTAAATCAATTCGAATCACAAATCATATGATTCTAATAACAAAGGTTCACACTATTGTTCCAATCATGACATTGGTAAGTTGCACTGGACTCGATATGCAAAACAATCATCAAATTATAGTTTGAGCTCATCCTATATATTTTCACATTAACACTCTATTTCTCTAGTCAAAAAAAAATTTCTACCAAAAAATATTTTTTATGAAATTTTTTCAGAAAATGTTTTGTAGAAAAAACATTTTTTAATGTTTGGTGGTAGTGTTGGAGGAACGAAGGTGGTGACATTGTGGTGGAACGATGGTGGTGGCCGTGGTGATGGCGATGTGGTGGTAGATGTAAGAGTGGTGGTGGTAGTATGGTGACATTGGTAAGACTTTAGCACGGAAAACGTTTTCTTCCCTCTAAAAGTGAAAAACTTTTTCTGCCCAAATAGGCTTCTTTTTTGTTGATCTTTTCGTTAATTTCCATTTTTCACTATACCAAGCACTAGAAAATATATAAAATATTTTCCAGAAAATGCTTTCTACCCAAACAAATGGGGCGTATACAATTTTTCAATATGATTTTAATGAACAAATATATGATGAATATTTATTTATTTATTTATAATTAATTAATTATTTTTTTTTTTTTTTGGTTTTTGGTCGCAAGACAGAATGTTAAAGGTTAGTAGAAAAGTTAAATTACAAAAAAGTGTTCATCATTGTTTTATTAGCTCGAAGCCTAAATGTCACTACGCTCTAAGGCCGGCTACATGACCATTTTGGTAAATACTAGGGTTTATATCACGATTTATGCTAGTCCAACACATAGAAAGCATTCTTATATTCTACAAAATAAATCATTATTAGGGTTATATATATATATATATATATATCTGTGTGTGTATACTTGGTAAATAGTCATTGTTCAAGTTTAAAAAAGAATATATTTGAAAAAATTGGAGACAGTTTCAGTCTCTAAAGTATGTGTTGTTTTTCATTTTAATCCCTTAAATTTTAATTTTGTCATTTTAGTCCTCAAAATTATCAATTTGAGTCAATTTAGTCCTAGGTCTAATGTCCGTTGACATTGACAACAAAAATATGAATAAAAGACAGTTTTGATCTCTAAAGTATGCATTTCTTGTCATTTTAGTATCTCGAATTTTAAATTTTGTCATTTTGATCCTTAAAGTTGTTAATTTGAGTCAAATCCCTCAAGTTTCAAATTTTTTCATTTTGGTCCTTAAGTTGTCAATTTGAATTAATTTGGTCCTAGCTAAAATCGACAACTCAGAGGACCAAAATGACAAAATTTAAAACTTGAAGGACTAATAAAATGACAAGAAACGCATATTTTAGGAACCAAAACTATCTTTTATCCAAGGATAAAATATTTTTTCCATTATCAATGTAAACGAACGTTAGAGATAGGATAAATTGACTTAAGTTGACAACTTTGAATATCAAAATGACAAAATTAAAACTTGAGGGATTAAAATGAAAAAGAACGCATACTTTAAGAACTAAAATGATCTTTTATCCTATTTGAAAAATATTATCCAGATTGAAGGTCAGATATCAGCAAGAATACTAAAGAAATCATCACCTCTAAACATTTCCTTAGTCTAGTACAGCTATAAGAATCCAATCATACAGTCATTACATCTTCTGGCTACATAAGCCCATTCGTGGTCAAAGTACTTATAATCTTGTCAACTCAAGCTATACATATAAATGTTTACTTCCAAAGTAGTTCAATTTTTTATTTATTTACTTTTGACACCAAAAATATAAATTTTGTTAATTTGAAACAATAAAGTACATCAAGATAATAAGAATTTAAGAGACATATCACAACTAGCTACACTAAAATAGGTTGGCACATACCAAAAGTCAATCACAGGCCAAAACCTTAACCCAAATCATAAAAAAAAAAAAAAAAAAGAAGTTAGTACATTGCCAACAATGCACAAAAACTTGGAAGGACAAAACTCCCTTAAAGATATTAATAGCACTATCTTACAACATGAGACCTGAACTCCAAACCCCAATTGAATGCACCGATTGGCAGGGGTGGAACCAGGATTTTGACTCCAGGGTGACCAACTGTTGGCTCTTTTTCTTCATAGATTATTCAGATACATATATTTCCGAAGGGTAATGATTTCCACCCGTGTCACCAAAAAATATTTCAAAGCCCTAAATGACATAGATTTTATCACTGAACCCATTATTATTTTTGTTACTTTTCGGTTAAATATTTTTTATTGGGTCCAAAATTAAGGAATTTATGTGCTGCTATATCATAAATATCCACTTCTTAGATTCTTTTTTTTTTTTTTAATCAGCGAAATAAACTGCATTGAATTCCAACTGAACATCCAGATTACACCAAAAAGAATTGAAGTGCAAAGATCATCATGGTCAAAACAATCTTATCCCAATTAGGTTGGCACAAAAAAGATGACAAATCACCTGCTAGCACCAAAATCAGAGAACAAAAACAAAAGCTACAGGCTTCAGGTTATTGAATGCAGCTCACAAAAGAATTGAAGTGCAAAGATCATCATGGTCAAAACAATCTTATCCCAATTAGGTTGGCACAAGAAAGATGGCAAATAACCTTCTAGCACCAAAATCAGAGAACAAAAACAAAAAGCTACAGGCTACAGGTTATTGAATGCAGCTCATAAAAGAAAGAACCTTCAAGAGCTAGCCAAACACAAAAACCAGAACCAAAACAAAATCAAACCCAACACAGCAGCCCTATATAGTTGATGAGAAATCAAATAATATTTGCTCCAAGGCAAATGCAATGACAAGGAAAAATAATATTCAGTTTTTCACCCCTTCAATGTTGTACAGGAAATCGTTGACAGTGAAAATCATTTTAAGGTACATAAAAGTTCAAGAATAAATCATTTTAGGGTTCTGCTACCTATTGGGCAATTTGTTAAAGACCAAGTAATGTCAAAAGCAATTAAAATTTCAATATACATTTCACATCTTTTCATCCACTTATATATTTATATATATATATATATATATATTTTCACATATTTTCATATATTTTACATATTTCAATATTTTTATACATATATATTGACATTAAGTACTTTTCAATAGGGCCTTAAAAAAATCGTTCGGTGGAGACCATGTCCTAAATACCTGTTAAAATTTACCATCACCTACCACCAATTTATCATCACCTACCACCACCTACTCCTCACCTACTACACTCACCCTCTCCTATATAATGAGCCACTCACCATTTGTAATATACACAACAATATATCAATCAATAATACATAAATTCTTACATGGTATCAGAGCAGGTTTAGAACCAAGTATTTTTCGCTTCACCGGCGGGCGGCAACCTCACCTTAGCCGTCCGCCGGACCTCAATCTATTCCGCTTATTTTCTACACATACCTTACCATCATTGCCCAAATCCTCTCTCTCTCGGAGGCAACCCAGCAACACCCACTCGGGCTTGCTCTCGGAATGACTGAACTCGCAGATCAGCAGATCAGATAACAACCAGGTCTCTAGTAGTTGACAGCATTTACCTTCCAGCTGCTCCTTCTCATCATAACGACCATGGTCCTTTCTGCTCTGGAGGTGTAGTGTTGCCCGGTTTAGAACCAAGTATTTTTCGCTTCACCGGCGGGCGGCAACCTCACCTTAGCCGTCCGCCGGACCTCAATCTATTCCGCTTATTTTCTACACATACCTTACCATCATTGCCCAAATCCTCTCTCTCTCGGAGGCAACCCTGCAACACCCACTCGGGCTTGCTCTCGGAATGACTGAACTCGCAGATCAGCAGATTAGATAACAACCAGGTCTCTAGTAGTTGACAGCATTTACCTTCCAGCTGCTCCTTCTCATCATAACGACCATGGTCCTTTCTGCTCTGGAGGTGTAGTGTTGCCCTCTTTCATGCCACACTACGACCTACGAACGCTATCCAGCACTCCGTCGGAGCAAAGTGCCGAAACCCATCCCTCAAATTCGGCACCGAGATCTTCACCGACACCATGACGGTCGCATCCAGCATCTGATTCCCATTATCTATTAGCTGTTGATTGGGAATAGATGAAGCTAGCAAGAGGTGGTCTTCTGCCAACCCTTCGGCAGGCCCCGCAAAGAGATCTAAACAGGTTGTCCATGAGACCCTTAATGTTGGCACAGACACTGCTGCTACAGCAATTGCCCCACATGGGCATGTCCCTCACGCCACCCTCTTTCTCTCTCCTCCAACCCCACTCCACTTTCTTTTCTTTTATTTTTCTATGTATATGTTTATTCTAATCTATTCTTCAAAGCACACCCACCATGGTTTATTTATTACAACACAAATCCTCACACGGCACCCCCATTCCTTTTTATTATTAGAGACCTGACTTGCACCTCCTCGGCCAACCCATTTCACTTTTCTTCTTATTATTATATACACCTTTTCTATTCTACATTATGCTCCACTCACCACTATCATCACATTTTCCCACTTTTTCAAACCCCCTTTAATCATCTCCCTCCTTTCCCTTACTTTCTTCCACCCACGATTTCACCATTTTCTTTTATTTTAATATATCTATATATATATATATATATATTTTATATAACAAAAAAAAAAAAAAAAAAAAAAAAAACATACACCCCTGTTTTCTTATCCCCCATCCACAAATATTTTCTCTATTTCTTTATCCATTGTTTATTTTATTTTATCTTAATTACACAAACAACATTCACAGAAATCACACCAACAACATTCCACCACCCTTGTCATTCTCATATCGAGCTCAAACCCCGATCACAAACTTACATCACCAAAAAAAAAAAAAAAAAAAACACAACAACCAGCAACAAATCAACCACATCCACAGCAGGATTTTCTTCTCTACTCTGCCGCCGCGTCTTCTTCTTGCCTCCGTGCTGGGCGGCCCTTGCCGGTTGTTGCTCCGTATTTCCCACATCCACTGCCCATGATCACTATCCCTGCTGTCCTCCTCCAGGGCAGCACAGTTATGGCGTCCTCCAAATCAACATAACGGTGGCCTTATCCGCTTCAGCTCCTTGTTTTTCCCCTTTAGCACACTTATCTCTGCTCGCGCATCCTTTATACATGCGTGAGCAGAGCCATTGGGCGTTTAACTGCTCAACCTCATTTGTCCTACTCTGCAGCCGGTTGCGACAGTTTGTGACCCAGTCATGGTCTCCACACATGACCTTTAAAGTATATGATGCCTCAATATCATTTCACCGCCATTTTTGCCTCCAACCGACCGCATCGAAAGTTCAACCGGAGCAAACCCAGTAGGTGTTTGGTTGAGTTCACTGCCACTCCGCACTAGTCTATTTCTCTTGTGGACTCGTTCAGTTCTGGGAAAGAGATGAGCAGACCACGGGAAAGAGCCATGTTCGGGTACTGGACGGGAGAAGAGCCATTTGCTGAGTGTTTCAGATACGGGGTTGGTTACAGAAGTATTACCGAGTTTCTCTCTCCGCAAAGAAGAGTTTTTTTCAGAGAGATTTTCAGAATTTTTGTCTGGCCTCAGCCCTCCGCGATCAACCTTGTTAAAATAGCGAGGCAAGCCACGTATCCCGCCACTTGACGCTAGACGAAATAACAGGGCCGCCCAGACAAGCCCTCACGTGCCTCGCCATCATATCTGGCACGCCTTTTTATGCATTTGGGCACGCCTTTTGATGGCACGCCTTTTTGAAAGATTGGGCACACCTTTTGAGGGTGCGACTTTTAGGGGTCCGACAAGACTCTGTAAACTGTCCCGACATTGATTCCGGTTAGCTCTTTTATGGGTCCGACAAGACTCTGTAAACTGTCCCGACATTGATTCCGGTTAGTTTCTACAAGGGTCCAGCAAGACTCCGTAAACTGTCACAACAACTGTTCACATCAGTGTCTGCTACACGGTCCGACATGACCCCATAAACTGTCCTCTACATCGGTCTGACACCGCCATCCAGTGTCCTCTACAACGTTATGACACCACCATCCAGTGTCTTCACCAATGGTCTGACACGACCATACAGTGTCTCTTATCCTCTTTTATTTTTATGTATTTTCTTGTTTTGTTACTTCTCTCCAAACTCAAGTTGGTTAGTTTCTACCCTCCTTGAGTTTGCGGGGGCTGTTAAAATTTACCATCACCTACACCAATTTATCATCACCTACCACCACCTACTCCTCACCTACTCCTCACCTACTACCCTCACCTCTCTACATAATGAGCCACTCACCATTTGTATATACACAACAATATATCAATCAATAATACATTAACTTCTTACAATACCAACTGGTTCGTAACGGCTTTTGGGCCCCAAGTCGGATACACTCAATTATACCACTGTGATTAAATATCACACATGAACCGTCTGGTTCATGTTACGAACCAATGTGAACCGGATATAAATGCCCACGTTATAACTGTAATGGGCCCGTTCACAAATTTTTAAAAAAATTAAAAAATTTACTTGTAACTTTGGGTATTTTCTTTTGATCGGTGAAAGTTATTGTTAGTTGTTAGATTAATACCTTAGAGGAGTTGAACTCACACCCTCTCCTATTCCACTCATAGGAGTGGAACCCAAGACCTTCCCTTAGGAGACACTTGGTAGCCAAAGCCACATAGGCTAGAACTCCTTGGTTTTGTAACTTTGGGCCTTTGGGGTGCCAGCTGGCTGGTCCAAATTTCCAAGCCCACCTCACAAGCCTAAGTTGGCTAGTAGTAGCAAATATTGAAGTACAGTACGACGAATGTAGCATAAAGAGCGTAACAAGGCAGCTCAGTGGATAGAGTGGAGAGTGAAGACAAACTGACTAAGAATGTGAACAACACAAGAGATATCAGGACCGGTCGTAGTGAGATAAACCAAACAACCAACCAATTCATGATCTGCAGTAGGATCATCAAGAAGTATACCATCAGAAGTAGTGAACTTGGCATGTAATTCAAGTGGAGTATCAACCACTTTGTCATGGGTGAGATGGATATGAGAGAGAATGTCACTAGCATTCTTGGTTTGAGGCAAAAGATGCTCCTTGGGAGATGATGCAATCTCAATGCCAAGAAAATAATGAAGAGGACCCAAATCTTTCATCTCAAATTCTTGAAAAAGCTAATGTTTGACATCCTGTATAGCAAGCAAGTTGGACCCAATGAAGATCATATTATCCACATATAGAAGAAGAAGAAGATGGCCAATAGAAGTGCGACGAACAAAGAGGGAAAAATCATGTGTACTAGGACAAAAACCAAGTTGTATAGTGCTAATTTAGATTAGAAGAGAGAAAAATATAAAACTATATTATTCAACTTAATCAAAAACATTACAAGAGGAATTTATAATAAAGCTAAGGAAACCCTAAAGAGTAATAAGGAGTAATCTACCCCACAAGAATATAAAATAATATATGCTTAACTCATGATGTAACAATAGGAAGCATCGAGAGTTTGTCAAGCATAAATCGGAAGCACATAGTAGTTTGAGACTTCGTGAAGAAATTGGCTAACTACATAGTGGATGGAACAAAAGGTAAGGACAAGGTATGAAGCTAAAGACGATGACATACAAAGTGACAATCAATCTCAATATGCTTCATTCCCTTATGAAAGATAGAGTTATGGGTAATCTGAATGGCACTCTTATTATCATAATACATGGGAGTAGGAGCCGACAAAGAAATGCCAAAATCTGCAAGCAACCAACGTAAGCGCACAATTTTAGCTACAGTAGTAGCCATAGCAGGATACTCAACCTCAGCAGAAGACCGAGCAACAACATTATCTTTTTACTCTTCCAAGAGATAAAAGAATCATCGAGAAACACACAGACACCAATAGTGGATTTTCAATCCATGTGTAAGATTTCAAAATAAGAGATGCATATTCAATTGTGAATGTAATACGAGGATACACCTAATTATATAGTAATCCTAACCCTAAGACTAAAAAGAAAAGAGAATATTTACAATCCCTTGCAATGTCTCAACATATATACAAAATATATACTACCATATATAGAGATACGCTAATATTCTCACACCCCAGCTTAAACTCACGGTGTTTGAACAGAAAATACTGAGAGTTTGCCAAGAAGAAATTGAAACCGAACAATGATGTGTCTTGGTAAAGAAGTCAGCAAGTTGTAGAGCTGAAGAGACGAAAGGACGTAAGATAAAGGCAAACTACAAATGCTGACCGATAAAGTGACAATCAATCTCAATGTGTTTTGTCTGCTTATGGAAAATAGTGTTATGGGCAATCTGAATAGCACTGCAGTTGTCATAGTAGAGAGAGGTCGGAAAAGGCTAAGGGATACCCAAATCAAATAAGAGACAACGAAGCCAAACAATCTCAGTAGTAGCATGAACTATAGCACGGTACTAAGTTTCGCCAGTAAAGCGAGCAACAACAGTTTGTTTCTTGTTTTCCTACGAGATCAAAGAATTGTCAAGAAATAAACAGAAACTAAAAGTGGACTTGCAATCATTAACATCGCCATCCCAATCAGAATCAACATAAGCCACCAAGTTTAAAGAGGAAGTAGAAGGCAACAGTAAGCCCTGAAATATAGTATCCCAGAGATAGCAAAGAATCCGAACCAAAGCAGCCCAATGTGTAGAACAAGGAGCAGAAATGAACTGGCTAACCACATGAACAGTATAGGAAAGATCAAGACGAGTAACTGTTAGATAGACTAAGCAACCTACAATCTCTCGATATAAAGTAGGATCATCCAGAGAGACACCATCAGTAGCATTAAGCTTTACATTAAGCTTAATTGGGGTATCAGAAATCTTAGTGTCGATAAAACCGACACGATGAATAACCTCATTTGCATACTTGGCCTGAGATAAAAAATATCCCTTGGGAGAAGAAGCTTTCTAAATACCAAGAAAATACCTCAATGGGCCCAGATCCTTCATTTCAAAGGTACGGAAGAGATGTTGCTTGTCCTCAGAGATAGAAGAAGAGCTAGAACCAGTGATGATCATATCATCCACATAAAGTAACAGGGCAACAAAACTAGTAGAGGTGTGGAGGAGAAACAAAGCAGAATCTTAGGTACAAGAGTGAAACCCAAGCTGAGTAATAGCTGTCTAAAAACAGTCATACCAAGCGCAGGGAGACTGTTTCAAACCATAAAGAGTACGGCGAAGATGACACACTTGTCTAGAAGAATAAGGAAGACCAATGGGAGGACGCATGTACACCTCTGCAGCGTGATGACCATTAAGAAAATCATTCTTAACATCCATCTGATAGAGAGGCCAATGACGAACAGCAACAACAGAAATCAAAGTATAGACAGTAGTTATCTTGGCAATGGGGCAAAGGTCTCCTTATAATCAACACCATATTCCTGTGAGAAACCTTTGGCTAGCGCTCGAGAGAACCATCAGAATGAGTCTTAAATTTATAGACCGATTTGAAACCAACTAGATTCTTGCTAGTAGGCAAAAGAACCAGCTGCCAAGTACCATTATTTTGCAATGCACACAACTCAACCTCTATAACTCGAACCCAATTAAGATCCTGATAGGTCTCCTTGTAAGACTAGAGTTTTGAAAAAGAGTGAATATCAAACAAAAAAGTGTAGTATGAAGGAGAAAAGCACGTTTTAA